TGTGTGTGTGTGTGTGTGTGTGTGTGTGTGTGTGTGTGTGTGTGTGTGTATGTATATATATGATCTGGTTTCCTAGTGACTGGTGTCAGAATATTGGTATGTTGCCTGAGTTTGTTCTTTGTTTATTCTTTATATACCTAATGGGAAAGAAGAGAAGGTAAGTTGAAACTACCACTGGCAAGCATAAGGAGTTATGTTATGGAAAAGAAAAAGCAGCATGGTCAGTGAAAAGATCAGCCAGTGGCCAGGAGCTGAGAGAGGGTGGGATGAATAAGGGCAACATGGGAGTTCTTAGGGATAAGAAGCTTGTGGTGAGGATTTTGGTTTCCTTAAAAAACACACAGAGAAATATAAGAATATGTTTTTATTTTAATCCCAAGTGTGAGGATATGGGACTGCTTCACAGGAGCTGACTATGATTTGCCTCGTGCCCTAGCAGAGCATGATTTTGCCAGCAACAGATAGTTTCTGTGAATGTGTGATGTTTGGAATTCTGGGAACTTTTCAGAGAATATATAAAATTCTAGAGCTCCAATGCTGTTAGTTGTGGTTTGTTAAGTAATTGTGCGCAAAGAAGGAACAACGAGAAGAAGACACTAGATATCCTGATGATGAAGATCAAACTTATCCCAAAAAACTTGACACCCCTAATCTGCAGGAAGTTAGTCTAACAATAATGATGCCCCCTTTTCTCTGTCCCATTTTTCTCTCCTACCTAGTGTTAGGGGGTTAAAAGCGTGGAAATGGGTAGGGAAGGGTAGAAAAAAGAAGAACCCACAAAGTAGCAAATACCAGCTACAGAAACTACTCTACAAGAAGCTGTCAGTGATGGACACACATCATTAAACATTTGTCAAGACCCACAGAATGTACACCAGCAAGACTGGGGCAACATGCAAGCTATGGGCTTTAATGTTAATGCATTGATTCCAACAAATGTATGACAAACAAATGCCATTAATGATGGGGGAAACCAGGGAGTGGCTGTGCCTCTGTAGGAATGTCTGCACTTTCCACTCTTTTCCTGTAACCCAAAAAAAGCCTGGCAAGGTGGTGCATCCCTATAATCCCAGCACTCTGGGAGGCAGAGGCAGGTGGATCTCTGTGAGTTCAAGGCCAGCCTGGTCTACAAAGTGAGTCCAGGACAGCCAAGGCCACACAGAAAAACCCTGTCTTGAAAAACAAAAACAGCCTTAAAACTGACTAGTTTAAAAACAAACCAAGCCAGTTGTCAATTTTCCTATCTTTTACACACATGCACACACACATGCACATTCACGCATGTATAAGCACACCTGAACATGGTAGATTTGTTGTGTCTTTCCTGCTTAAGCTATCTTTTGTGATAGTAAGAAGAATGTGCCCAAGAGAACACACAATTTTTTAAATGGATCCTTCTCTCAGATATGTTGTACTTCATCAGCAGACATCTAGAGAGATCTCAGGACCTAAGAGGATGAACATCATGAACTTTGTACAAACATAACCTTGTGGTAATCCTGTTATGAGCAGCATACATCCCTTGCCAAAATATATTACCTGATTCTCCCATGACTTTTGACTGTAGACCAGCTCCATACTGTACCAACCAAGAAGGGTCACCCTAAGTCTGAAACTGGACAAGCTGTCTACTGCTGTCCAACCTACCCCAGACCCATGCCTCCAAAGGAGTGAGAGGTTACATTCCTCTGATGCCCTGTCATGTCTCATCTGGGGTACTTGTGTCATCCAGGCCTCTGACAACTTGCATCAACATGACATTTATATGTACTAGTCTCTATAGGTCCAGGTTTCCATGTTTTCTCTCATTTAATTTCTCTGCTACCCAATGGGACAAGGACTAATTACTCCCAATACTGATGGAAAAAAAAAAAACTCTAGCTGTGAATTATTTTCCTGGGCATCTTAGTTTCATTTCCTGTTGCATGATAAAATACAAAGCAAACTAGGGCAGAAGGAGTTTATCTGGGTCACAATTCCAGGTCACAGTCCACTATTGCAGGGGTATCACTATGACAGGAGCTTGAAAGAACTGATGACATTATATCCATAGCAAAGATCAGAGAGCAATGAATGAATGCCTCTTCTCCTGTACTGAGCTCACCATTTCCATTCACATAGTTCAGGATCACCTGCCTAAAGAATGTGCCACCTACAGTGGGCAAATAATAGCAGCTCAATTAACTTACTCAAGATAATGTACTTATAGGGGCTAGAGAGATGGTTCAGTAGTTCAGAGCACTGGCAACTATTCCAGAGGCCCCGGGTTCAATTCCCAGCACCCACACGGCAGCTCACAACTCTCTGTAACTCCAATCTTAGAGGATCCAACACCAGTCTCTGGGTACAAGGCACACACGTGGTGCACAGACATATATAAAAGTAAAACACCATAGACATAATAAATAATTGAAAAAAAAATAATGACTCCCCCCATGGGCATGTTCCTTAGTCAACCTCATCTAGGTAATTCCTGACTGATACTGTCTTCCCAGGTGACTCTAAATTGTGTCACCTTGACAGTTCAAACTAACCAGCACAAAAAGGCTGCTGTAAAATGTACCCACAGGCTGAGTGTGGAAATTTATATATGATTCTCAAGGGCTGAAATCTAAGCCCAGTGTCAGCAAGGATGTTTGTCACTGAAGGCTCTTAACAGAACCCTTCCTTGCCTCCTGCAGCTGCTGGTGGCTCCAGTATTCTTGGCTGAACATGCTAACTATAGTCTCTGCCTCTCTCTTCACCTCCATGTCTGCTCCCTGCTCTTACACAGACACTTGTGGGTTTAAGGAGCCTCATCTCAAGACCCTTAATGACATCAACTAAATCAGGTCACAGTTATGGGTAGCCTGGGTCTTATGGATCTATAACTGTTTGGAGTGCTTTCAATTCTTCCTGCCACTGGTTAGCAGGAGATCATAACAGAACCACACCCATGTCTGTCCAACCCTGGGCCCTCACTATGGACCAAGCACTCCAACGCAGTTTCACCTGAACACTTCCAAGGTTGCTGTTGAGAGCCAATTGTCTACTGTTGCTGAAAAATCTCCCTCTCCAAGCAGCCCTATCTGCCTCCTTTGTATTGGTCTGGCAAGCTCATGAAATGAGTCAATTCTGCATGAAATGACTGTGAAGACAATAATGAAACTAGAACACAGAGACAGCTGGAATGTGAGGCTGTTGTTAGCAAAGCTCCAGCTGGCTCTATATAACAGCATTTCTTCCATGTTGTATTGGCCAAAAGACTCAAGACACAGCTGCCCTGGGAGGCCCAAAGGCTCTGCTGTCCTCTTGGAAGCATATGTTCAACAGAAGTTAACTCTCAATTCCAATTCCAAAGTCATTAGGAGTGCACAGGGACCTGCAGGAGGAAGATGGAAATCTTGTTGACCCTCTAACAAGGACCCTTTCCAGACTCTCAGGCCCCTATTGTTCTAAGCAATGCCAGCCAGTGTTGGCTGTGAAAGAATGACAGAATATTTAATGTACATTTTTCCAGCTTTTAAATGGTGGTAATCATTCAGAGGAAAAGGCAAAAACTCTTTAAAGACTGGAATAAGCAAACAAAATAATGCAGAGCTGCCCAAGAACCTTGAATTTCTCCCCAAGTCCTACCATCAAGAGCCAGGCAACAGGGCCTTTAGTGAGGTAGTTCCAAGCCATCTCTGCACCGTTAGCACCGCTGCAGCAGAATCCCAGACAGAATCCCTGGTTTGAACGGAAAGTTAATTCTCATGCTCTGGAGGCCCAAGATCAAAATGGCAGCTTGTGGTACAGGCCTCTTTGGTGTGTACTTCTTTTTACCTGGCTGAGTGAGTAAAAGTGAAAACAAGGGAGGGTAAGAGACAGAGGAGAATGGATGGAGAGAGAGCTTGAGGGAGAGAGAGAAAAAAATATGAGCCTCCATAAGAGAGGAAGAAGGTTCTGAGAGGCACGCAGTGCTGAGGACGGCACCAGCTTCAGAGCAGAGAAGTCTTTGAGAGGAAAGGAAGCAGTGGGTATGTGGTAAGAGAACAGGTATCCAGAACTACACGGAGTGAGTACCCCATGGTGAGGCACAGCTGATAATACAGTGCTCTCCCACATCCCACAAAATTCAAATTTCAGCACAAAATTGCTTAGCAAATATTGGCAAAGCTGGCAAACTTACTGATCTGATTTTCCACCTCTTGGCAATTTTACCAGAATAATGGCGGCTGCAGTCCCTTTGCCATCTGCAATCACACTGGACAAGATGAAAGGATATGTACCTGCAAGCCAAGATACACAGGGGACGGATTCATCTGCCGAGGCAGCATTTACGGGGTAATGCTAAGACTCCAGGAAGTAAACCCATTTCCCAAGAGTCCAGGTTGCCAGGGACAAGCTCTTCTCACAGTCAGTCACAGTGAGAAGAGCTTTGTCCACCTAGGGAAAGTCCTATGGCCAGGGGAAGAAGTGGTGTTGCCATTAGACTGCCAGAGAGATACGTGTATGTGCTATGTGTGGTATGGGTGCACAGAATGCAGTGACTGTGTGCGTCATGTATGTGATGTCCTGTGAGTGGGAGTATATGGTGTGTGGTGTGGCATGTGTATGCAGAGTGTGGTGACTGTGTATGATGGACTTTGTGTGGTTTGTGGATGTGTGGCATGGGGTGTGTGCTGTGTCTGTAGTATGCGACATATTGTCGCATATGTGTGTGCTGGGTAGTATGTATGGCGTGTATGTAGTATATGTTGTATGTAGAGTATGGAGTGTGTGTGGTATATCAGATATGTGTGTGTATGTGTATGGTATATGGTATGATTCTGTATGGTGTGTGTGTTACATGGCGTGCATGTCTGTGTGTTGTATATGGTGAATTTGTGGCGCATGGTATGTGTAGTGTATGATGTGTGGGGGAGGATGTGTGTGGAAGGAGTATGTCTATATGGTGTCTGGGATGTATGGGGGTAGGGGTAGTGAGGGTTATGGGGTGTGGAATGTGGGGGTGTGGTGTATTTATGGTATAGATGTGGTATGTGTTTGAGTGTATGGGATGTGTGTGTGTGTGTGTGTGTGTGTGTGTGGTGTATGGGGTATGTGTGTGTGATATATTTGTGGTATGTGTGTGTGCTCATGTGCATGCCTTCTCTTTGCCCCCATCTGCCTACACTGCAGGTAGAGGAAGAGCTGGTATGATGCTTCCTGGTTCCTACATATTATAAACACTCAGAAAAGTGTCTTAAAGAGAGACCACGGTATTTAGACTGATCAAAAATTCTTGTCAGGGAGACCAGTTCTCCCATAAACAATAGCTGACCTTTACAAGATTCCAGCTATATTTGGTGTGTTTTGTAAAGATCTGCGCTCCATTTGAAGTGCTTGTAAATGCTTTGGGGAGTGGCTGAATCTTTCTTCTGTAAATCAGATGGAGAGTCCGGAAAGGAGCCTGGACTCAGTGTGTCACTCAGTTATTCTGAGCATCAACCACAAGCCCCTCAGTGAGTGTAGAAGAGAACTATCACATGGCTCCCAGCAGACAAACTGCCTCACACAACTCTGTGTTCCTGTGTATAATTCAGAGTTGAAGTAACGACATTTTCCTGTCCTTGTTTGCAGGAACTTCCCAAGAACCCGAAAACGTCCCAGTATTTCTTCCAGTTGCAGGTAAGAAAGTGTGTGTCTACTTCCAGGCGTGTGCCAGACCCTGGATTCAACTTCTGCCACCAGAATATGTGTGTGTGAATCTATGTGTATTTGTGTGCACACACTGAACTATATGTGTGTACATATGTATGTGTGTATGCATACATATATCAGCATGCTATGTTGCAAGATATTAGATAAAGCTGTAGCTTCCAAAGTTGGGAAGAGCAGAAGAAAGTCTGGAACAAGGATTTATGGCACCAGCCCAGTTGTTGACCATTTGTGAACTGTGACTCTCAGGCCTCCAGTGTAATCACACAGGTTAACGTTTGTGACTCTCGTCACATCTAAACATTGGAAGGATACAGTAAATATACAGTAGGGAAGATTAAGAACTACATCACATAGGGCTCTTACCATGAGTGAGGCCTGGTCTGTGCGGGTCACTGAGGCATGCGTTGTTCACACAGTTGCAAAATGGCCGAAGAACAAATTTCTCAGAACAGATCCCATAGTTAAGTGACAACGACTGTGTATGAAAATGTCTATCACAGCTGTGGAGAGTGAGTGTATGGGTTGCTTTATCATAGCTGTTACGGTACCTGACAGAAACAACCTGAGGGAGGAAAGCATTTGCAGGTTCTGTGCTCCTGGGCCATTGTGGAGCAGAGTGTCACAGCATCAGGGACATAAGGCAGAGAAACTTTGTCACAGCAGACAGGAAGCAGAGGACACAGGCAAGGCATGCTGGAAGAAGCAGGACAAGATGTCCTTGCAGGGAAGCTCTCTTGCTCAGCCTGTCCCCACCTTCAACTCTCACCTCCAGCATGTCCTGAATCCCTGGAGGCAGGAACCTGTTCAGACCTCAGAGTCTCCTCTAAGATAATGGCCACTTAGGCTTCTCTATCTCCTCCTGGGTGCTCCTCAACCCAACTAGGTGACAGTCAAGATTGACCCTCACATGCTGACCTTCTGGGAACCAGCCACACAAATCCCATCCACTAAAGAATAAGACATGAGAAACTAGAAGCAAACGCCATAGCAGCCATGTAATCTCAGGATGTCAAGGAGATAGCTAGATGGCTAAGTGAGCCATCGTGGTTGTTACAGTCATGTGATTATCACATGGCATAGCCAGTCATGTGGAGAGGAGAGGCCGGAGTCATCTTTGATGGGGCTCATGGGGGAGTTGTTATCTTCTTGGTACTCTGCTTTCAAAATCGTTAATCTAACAGCCACATGTTAATTTTATCATTAATAAAAAAAAACACATAATTTTGATGGCGTAGCATCTGGGTTTACTTTGAGTCTGAGACAAAAGCATAGACTGGCATCTCTCTGAGCCTCAATCTGTGTCTGTAAGAGAGGAAGCCGCATGCTTGTCTGTGAAAGAGTGACATGTGGCCCCCCTCCCTTCCGGCAGGAGCACGCTGTCCGAGAGTTGGCTGGACCTGGCCCCTTTACCGTATTTGCGCCTTCATCCAATTCCTTCGATCAGGAGCCCAGGGTGAGCACGAGAGTGGACGCTGTAGGAGGGCTTGGGAAAGGCCTAAACTCACCGAGGTAATGTTTGTGGAAGAGAGGTTTAGGCTTAGACAGAGCAGACCAGCAACAGAAGGAGCTGCTTGTCTGTGTGAAGACCCCTGCCAGAGAAAGCAACTGGGTTCAGGGTACCACTGGCCAGAGACTTTCTAAAGGCATGCCTAAACAGAGTAGGAAATTGGAGAAGTCCCAAGTGATCAAGGGATCCAGAACTCCCTATAGACTAAAAAAAAAAACAAAAAACAAAACAAAACACAAGTGGGCCGAGCTGATGCTGACTTAAAGGAACTTGAATAGGATCTAGACTTGCAGAACTCTTCAGAGCCTTTATGCTCTGCTGTTTACTGCTGTCCTGTGACGAATTGCCTATAAATACTACTAGACAACTATCACTTATATCGATAACTACACTCATAATGGGGCCTGGCCTACACGTATCTGGTTTATTCTCATGTCTGACTTGTAGCTGAGTGTTAGCCCCATTTTACAGTGGAGGACACTAAGGGAAGTGACTTTGCCAAGGTCCCATTGCTGGAGGTGTTGGAGGAGGGACTTGTTCTTAGCCGCCGCACACACCACTCCTCTCTCTGTGCATATATTGTGGGTACCAGCAATGCAAAGACACCAGAATAATGTTTAAAATCACTTGACCTTTGGTTATTTTAAAGTCTCAAAAAAGTGAAACGTCTTTCTATCACAGTGACTTCATAATTATATTCTTTGTATCTTTTTTCAAAATACACTACATTTTAAAATCTGAATTTTTATTTTTTCTAAAGGCTCACTTATATTTATGTGCTTTGGTGCTTTGTCTGCTTATATGTCTGTGTAATGAAACCCTAGAACTAGAGTTACAGATAGTTGTGAGCTGCCATGTAGGTGCTAGGAATTGAACCTGGGTCCTCTGGAAGAGCAGCCAGTGCTCTTAATCACTGAGCATCTTGTGACAAGGCTTGTAACAAGCCCCTACTTGTGACACAGGAGAAATATGTTACAATCTTTTCCAATTGTCTCTAGGAGGGGCCCTCCCATGCTCTCCTCTAGCATGTTTCCCAAGAAAAAATCTTTTCTGAGGAGCATGGTAGGACACTGGCATCCTTCAAGCAGAATTGTGACAGGCTGGGCCAGAGGCCCTTGAGGCCACTCACCCCCCTGCCTGACCAGAGTCTCCCTGTGTTCCCAACACAACCCTGGCATTAGCTCCTCACAGTATGGGAGGGAGGTTAGAGCAAAAAGAGGTTCTAGCTCCAAGCTCCTGCCTGTGGCCGACCCCCTGTCTTCTCTTCCAGATTAAAGACTGGGATGAGCAGGGCCTCATGTCCCAGGTTCTTCGGTACCATGTGGTCGCCTGCCAACAGCTGCTGCTGGAAAACCTAAAAGTGACCACAAATGCCATGACCCTCCAGGGCGAGCCGATTTTCATTTCTGTCTCTCAGGTAAGAGCAGCCACCTCAGGAAGGTGCTGCCCTCGTCCTGCAGACATCTGCCTTCCCTTCTCTGGAGTGACAGCCGCGGGGCTATCAGCTAAGCACTGAGTCATGCTGAATATAGGGCTGGAGACTTCATATGCACTGACTTAGTCTGTCCAGCAGCTGCCTGGTGTAAATACCATCCTTGTCCCCATTCTCCAAATACGGAAGCTGAGCTCAAAGAGGCGAAAGTCACATTGCAAAAAGCAGCTGCATTGGACTTCAGACTCAGAGGCAGGGCTGCTCCAGGCAGCACAGATGGAGTGGAGGGGTGGGTGACGGCAAGGACACACTAGTGAGAAGCAAACCCTGAGCTGTTTCTTCTGTGAGCTTTCTGTTGAAATAAGCAACCAGCCAGGTTAGCCGCTTAAGTATCATCCCCTGTTAACCTCGCAGGTGAAGACTGCTTTCTCATCTCTATTTTCCTTAGGGTCATAATAAGTAATGTGTGCTTCAGTCACATGGACCTTCGAGCCCCCCCCCCCCCATGATGGCTGGCACATTAGAGAAGTTCTGTGGAGAAGGATGTTGTGTGGGTTCTCTGTGCTCATGTCTCTCGCTGGTTTCATTTGTCTTCAGGATACCGTGTACATAAACAACAAGGCAAAGGTCCTGTCCAGTGATGTCATCAGCACCAACGGAGTCATCCATATCATAGACAAATTGCTCTCTCCCCAGAACTTGCTTATCACCCCCAAAGATGCCTCAGGCAGGGTTCTGGTAGGTAACCCACTGTCACTCTGCAGCACGTGCTATGTGTGTGTCATCTGCTCAGCTCTGGTTGGAGCATCACTCTGTTACATTATGATCCTGTTGCTTCAAGCTTTATACATAAGTAGGCAAAGGTTGCTTTAAATCAGTATGTTGGTTTTAGCTGGGGGCGGTGGTGTACAGTCCCAGCTACTCGGCAGGTTCAATTTGAGCCCAGAATTTCATACCAATGTAGTGAAACCTATCTCTTAACAAAAAAAAAATTATAAATAAATAATTTTATAAGTTCTTCTTTAGTGTCCACAAGGGAAAGTTGCCTTATATAGATTTGAAGAAGACAGGGGAGGGAAGAGGGAGGGAAGAGGGAAAAGAAGGTGGATAATTAGATATCACAAAAACTAACCTGGGAATAAAACTTCTTGATGGACAGAAAGAACAGTTTTAACTATTTATTCATTTATTTATTTATTTTTGTGGTGCTGGGCTTTGTACATGGTAAGCATGTGCCTTCCTCCTGAACTACAAATCAGCCTTTTTTCATTTTCCGCTTTGAGACAGGGTCTTACTAAATTGGCTTAGGCTGGTCTTAAACTCACTTCTGCAGCCCAGATAAAGGCCTCGAATTTTTTATTCTTCTGCATCAGACTCCTAAGTAGCTAAGATTACAGGCCTCGGCCACCAGACACAGCACGCTTCATTGTAGTTATTGGCATTAGCCACTCTACTTCACTGCAAGTGGCAGAATCCACTAAGCCTCACTTACAAAAAGGAGTTTATTGAGATATTATGTATATGAATAAATCTCTTAGAGGCTGCAGTCTAATTTTCATGCTACACAGGTGAACACAAAACAACCTAGAAAATCCTGAACTGATCCTCTAACCTTACTCTAGGAACATTTTGACTGTTACAGCTCCTCATATTCCACTCTCCAGCCTCTCCTCCCAGGGCACTGCTGCTCACATCCATACCATCATGCTCCCAGAGACTAGCATCCACACTTTGTTTCTTTCCACCAACAGACCTCCATGTGCTTGGGTTTGGTTGACCCTGCATTGCCTGTGGGCTTCTAGCTGCAAGGGAGTCTGGAAGGTGTTCCATCTAGCTTTCCAGCCTCTGTAATGCAGAAAAGCATGAGCAGAAAAACAAGGTTGCTGTGAGTGCTGATGAGCCAGTGGCCACCCCTGCTGTGTTACCATCATTGTATGCAGTTGGATTGTGTTAAAGTACCTGGCAAACTAAAGACAGCATGTTTAGCCTCCAGATGTGTCCCAGGATAGCCAGAAATGTGACCCAACACAAAGTGACAAACTTACTTATATTATACCTGTTTTCAAATCTCTGTCTCCTGAGTGAGAGTAGCCACCTCCCAAGGGCCATTCTCCAGTCATGGAAGGTATAATACCTGGCTTTCCCATACAGTTCTCAGGTATGAACTTTGTAGACAGTGATGTCATGTCACAATGTCAAATGGTTGGACACAGGTGAAAGGTGAAATGTTTTATGTCTTTATTTCTGCAGCAAAATCTTACTACAGTGGCAATAAACCATGGATATTCCAGATTCAGCAAGTTAATACAGGTAAAACACTAAGGGGAAAGCAGACTTGGGGACAGCCAGCCTGAACCTCTGCTTTGTTAGGTTTGCCTGTGTTTATATCTGCCAGTGGACTCCCACACTGATCAGTCCCCAAAGAGCTCCAAGAACCTTGGTTATTCACAAAGCACACTCTGTACTCTCTACCGTAGGTTCTCAATACTCGCAAAAGATCTGCATCGCAGATTCTCTAGGGAGAAGGTTGGAAATGGGGGTTCCAACATGTTCAGACTGAAAATCCTGAGGGCTCAAATGACATAAGGAAAGAGCATCTCCTATCCTCTGATCTCTGCACTCAGGCTCCAGTAAATACAAACAAATAAATGTACTAAATACTTTTTAAATGAGATTGTCTAAGGATGTGCACCTGTCCATCCCCAGAACTCAGCAGGAACCCAGTACCTGTTTAACAGGGTCTGTTTGGACAAACAGTTCTAGAGCAAACTAACGAGCTTTCCAGTGGCTCAATGAAGGTTGTAAAGTTACTTCACAGGAGGAAAAAATCAGTCTATGTGGTGTTCCCATACTGCATAGGGCTCAAGGCGGCTTCTGTTCACCTTGGCATTTCTTGAAGTACATTTACCTAGAAACTTTATAATCAAGCATACATATCTCAGTAGTTTACAGAGTTTTTAAAGAAATGTGAGAAAAAATCTGGTCTGGAGAAGTTAAAATATTTGAACAGAAGTAGTATCAAAAATAAGATATTCATTGAAATGTACTTTCCTACTAACAAAATCTGATTTGCTTTCTAAGGAAATGGGGTTCAGATTGGTTGGGGTGCCATGCTCTGTCTTCTGGCTGTGTCACTCTGGAACCTTCAAAAATACCGACAAGCCACAGTACAGGTCATGGAGAGATAGGCTCAGAGAGGCCTTTGCCCACGTGTCAGGGAGGGGCCTTACTGCACAGCACATCTGCACACCAGCCAGAGGATGGCGCCCTGTGTTTCAGGACTCGGGCTTGCTGAGTGTCATCACTGACCCCATCCACACCCCAGTCACTCTCTTCTGGCCCACGGACAAAGCCCTCCAAGCCCTGCCCCAGGAGCAGCAGGACTTCCTGTTCAGTCAAGACAACAAGGACAAGCTGAAGGAGTATCTGAAGTTCCACGTGATCCGGGACAGCAAAGTATGCTTTTGAATGTCCCGGAGAAAGCCACAGTCCAGCACTGAGGGGCTCTGCCCCACAGTTCGCCATGTGGCACCATGCCTCCATGGGAGGGAGGGAAGCTTCACACCTCTGTGTCTGGTTGCCATGCCTGGCTGCTCACTGCAGTATGCCAGCTCTGCTTCTGTTGTCTACACCAACACCCGCTACCCAAGAGGACCCAAGCCCTCCTCAACTCTGTGTGCCTTTTCACTTTCCCCCTCCATATGGCAGAAGGGCAGCTCACAAAGCTCCCCACCATCAAGTTTTTCCAGATGGTCTCTACCACTCCCCAACCCAACATCCCTATGCAAACAACTGATTTATCTTAATGCAATCAGCCGTCAGCCCTGTGACCTATTCAGCGTCCTAGAGAAGCCTAATCATGTAGGGGCATGGCAGTCACTCCGAGTCCTCCATGAGGACGCCCATCACTCTGAGATGAGGCCATCCACTCCAAGATGCCAGTGCCCTGACTTCAGTTCACTCACTGTGTCCGGTGACTTCCTGGGTCTGCATAGCAGATTACCACAGGCTAGGTGCCTTGGAACCGCAGAAAGTCATTCCCTCGCAGCAGTGGATGCTAGGCTGCTGCCATCAAGGTAGCAAGGTCATTTCTTAGAGGGTCCTGAAGAAGACTGTTCCCTGAGTCTCTTCTGGCTGCTGGTAGTTTCTGGCAACCTCTGGCATTCCTCAGCTTGTAGGGGCATCCATGCAATCTGCCTCCATCTTTCCCTGCGTCTCAGTGTCCTGCTATGGTATTTTCTCCTCTTCCTCTAAGGACACCGTTTATGTCATATTAGAGGCCCACCCTGCTGAAGGATAATTTCATCTTGCCGAACTATTAACTATATTTGCAGAGACTGCGGTTCTCAAATAAGGTCATATTCTAAGGTCCTTGGGAGTCAAGGTTTTATATCATTTTGTTATTTTTTATTTTATTTTATTGAAACAGGGTCTCATGTAGTTCTTGAAATCTCAGAACTCGTTAAGTAGACAAGACTAGGCTAGCGTTGTACTGATATCTGCCTGCCTCTGCCTCCTGAATGTGGGGATTAAATGTGGGTGCCACTATGACTGGCTCACATAACTTTTAAAGGAGCACATTTCTGGCCATAAAGGTACCCTGAGCCATTTCCCAGCTAACTCAACTGATCCTTTCATTGGCTTCACGTACCTAGATAGCCTCTTCCAGGACGCCCAAGCACAGGTGGAGAGCTAGCACAGACTGTTCTACCGAAGGACCTTCCAGCCCCTAGAAAGTCATAGTCACTCCTAGCCTTCAGTTACACTCACGACAGCTTTAGCTTGGGTTATTTTAACTCACAGGGACTCTCCCACTTGAAGTTGCTCTGCTGGCGAAGCTTCTCTGGCCCTTCAGCCCAACACAGGCATTAACACAGCTTCTTCTCTCCCTCAGGTTTTGGCTTCGGACCTCCCTAGGTCTGCTGCCTGGAAGACCCTGCAAGGTTCGGAGCTGAGTGTGAAGTGTGGAACTGGCAGTGACATCGTGAGTGTCATGGGGTGATCACACAGCATGAAAGCTGTTCTCCAACTGTTCCCATTTTCAAAGGCATCCGTGGATCTTCGAGTGTGTTAAGGGGTGTTTTGTTTTGTTTTACATTATCAGCACTCTCTGGTTCAGTCACTGCCTTCAGGGATAGCTATGACTCTTCTGATATACCTTGGAATTCCAGGCCCTCAGGATAGGTGCAGAAAGTCCCCTACATGTTTGTTTATTTATTTTAGTTCTGAGTCTTGTAGGTTTGGGGAGGAAGAGAAGTTTGGAAGGGATTGTTGATATCTCTCTCTTTCCTCTCTCTCTTCCCTCTCTTTCAGGGTGAGCTTCTTCTGAATGGACAAATGTGCAAGATTGTACAGCGGGGGCTCTTGTTTGACCTGGGTGTGGCCTATGGCATTGACTGCCTGCTAACGGATCCCACCCTGGGTGGCCGATGTGACACTTACACTACCTTCAGTGTTTGGGTCAGTCCTAACATTACCAAAATAGTGAAAGAACGTTGGACCAGAGTTGGTGATACAGCATGGGCCCCAAGGAAGGGCCATGATGTGACCAGGTCCCAAGAGACATGAGGGCCAATAGATGACATTCTTCAAACTCAGAATCAGCAAGCATCTGCTTAGCCAGTTGAAGGCCTTGAATACTCTTGCTTAGCCACCATCCACCAACGTTTCCTTTATCACTAAGGAAACAGAGCTTAGATACCAAATGTTAGCCTTGGGTACCAAATGTTATCATTTTCAAACCCAGCTTGCCCACTCAGCAAATGTCTTTTTGCATCATATATATAATTGACACACTTGGCAATGAACAAAAATGGTTCATCCTGTTATGTGACATATGCCCAAAGCACCTCCATTCGTTTCCGCATTCATTCAGTTTGCAACACTGATGAACCTGTGCTGTGGCCCTCCACCATACAGAACGTGTTCCCCTCACCCTTCCAGCTGGTGCCAGTGAGTAAATGCCAGCCTTGAGCTGTGCTGCTCAGTGCTCATCTGACCCCCACAGCAACCGCTGGTGGCAATGAGCGGCATCGCTACCAGCTCCACCAAATAGACTCGGAAACTGAAGTGGAGAGCAGAGCTTGCCACTGCTCGGTGTTAATATCTGGCATCTCTTACACAGTTTAAGAAATAGCCTACAACTTTCGGACTCCCGTTTGGATGGGAGATGAGCGTAGTTTCCCCGTTTTAGCAGGTGTAACTGTATTGATGTCTAAAGCGTATATACACCTTCTTCCAGCTAATTAGCTTCCTTACCAGTTCCCCAACGGTCAAACGGCAACGAGACGTACTGTACCTCTGTTATACCTTATGAAAACTAAAGTTCAAATGTATCAGTTACTGGTCAAAGTCTCACAGCTAACTTAAAATGCAGTTGCCTGTATCCGAATTCCCCACTCTACAGTATGCCCACACCACACTGCCTGGGCCCAGCTCTGAACATCAAGGGACTGCTTTCAGGTGGTCATCCAAGACACCTTCAGAATTCTTCAGGCAAAGTGAAGTGTATGTTTTTACAGTCTTGAGCATAACCATGGCTTAATCAAGATTAAGATGTGTGTGTGTGCACATGTCGAAGTCAGAGGTCAACCGTAGGTTCCATTCCTTGGAAACCATCCACCTTGGGTTTTTGTTGTTTTGTTTTGTTGTTTTTTTTTTTTTTTGAAACAAGGTCTCTCACTGGAACCCAGGGTTCACTGATGCAGCTAGGCTGGCCACCCAGTGCAAGGACGAAAAGCACACACCATCATGCTCGGATTTTTATGTGATTTCTGGGAATTGAACTCAGGCCTTCATACTTGAGCAGCAAGTACTTTACTGACAAAACTGTCTCTCCAGCCCCAAATTAAGTTCTTAACTAGCTCATTCAGACACTAGCCAGGGACGTGTCCTCGTCATTGTCAATATTCTTGATCTTAAGGTTTCTCACATTGCACACTAGGGGGACTGCGGGAGCTGTGGCTCTACTCCCAGATGCCCACGGTGGAGCAAACCAAAGGTAATTATGAACGATGACATTCAAAGGCCATGGGGATGTTACGTTTTCATCCAAGAACAGACTCATTCAAGGTGGCATGGCCGTGGACTGTGTGCTTCATTCTCAGACCTCAGTCTTCTGATAGGCGAGCGTGTGCATGGGTAGGCGAGCGTGTGCATGGGTAGGCGA